TTTTTTTGGTTAGTTCCATCATGGGTCATCTTGTATGTAAACCACGTTTTCTTTATCTATTTATCTGTCAGTGGACACCCAGACAGACCCCCTATCTTGGTTACACCATTCACATGGTGTTACATTGAATTTGAGTGTACAGGTATCGCTATCATAGGCTGACTTCCTTTGATTTCTTTGGGTATATACCCAGAAGTGGTACAGCAGGATCATATGATTTTGCTTTTTCTTTTTTTGTTGAGGAATCTCCATACTGAATACTATTGCAGTGGAATAATTTACCTTCCTACCAATGGTGCCTTTTAGTTGTGATGTCACCTCTTTATTCAATCAGTATGCCCTTCTACTTTTCTATACAGTCTCTCTTGTTATTTTAACTCTCTTCATTCACAGAATCACAGAAGAAATTTCTAAGCTGTCATCTTTCCCCAGGAGTCAAATCAGTAGCTTTTTTTTTTTTTCAGAAAGAAATTGAATATGTTTTGAAAGCCCACCCTTGTTCATGGGCAGAATTAACATTGTTAAAGTGGTTATATTACCAAAATGATCTACAGATAATGTCCATCAAAATCCTCTCTTTCATCCCAAAATTACAAAAATAGAAAAACTATCCAAAAAGTGATATAGAAACAAAAAAATACCCCAACTAACCAAAGCAATCTGCAAGAACAGTTATACTTCAGAACCATTGTGACAAAGCCTGACAGGAACACCATGGAATAGCAGGCTTAGAAAGAAATCCATGTGATATAGCTGAAGGGCTGAAAAGATAGCCTCTAATAAGTTGTGCAGGGGAAAACTGGATATTCACAAGTGCAAAGCAGAAAGCAGAATTCTTATCTCTCACCTTGTACAAAAATCAGTTCCAAATAGGTTAAAAATCTTAGTGTGAGACATGAACTTTGTTTTTTTTTGTTTTGTTTTGTTTTTGTCAGTCGTGGGACTTGAACTCTGGGCCTGGGCGCTGTCCCTCAGCTCTTCAGCTCAAGGTAGTGCTCTACCACTTGAGCCACTGCGCCACTTTCGGGTTTCTGAGTGGTTTATTGGAGATAAGAGTCTCATGGTCCAACGAGAGGTACAAGTCGTTATGTCGAAAACGAACTTTACAACTTTGGTGGTGGTGGTGGGGGAAGGAGGGTTCAGTGGGGGTGGGGTGGGAGGAGGATGGGATGGGAAGGAGAAACAAAGGAGGAGGCTACAATGCTTGATAAGAAATGTACTCATTACCTTGCCCATGTAATTGTAACCACTCTGTACAGTACTTTCACAATTAAAAAAAAAAAAAAATCTCATGGTCAACATCAACTACAGTGAAAGCAGAGATTATACCATGGGGGAGGGACATACAAAGCAACAAAGAAATCATCTTATAAATATGCTAGAAACAATTGCATGAAAGAAAAAACATTTGAATACTTATTTTGGGGTTCATTTCCCTAACATCAACTTAACCCCTTCTTTCACTATTTGATGTTGGTATAATTTGTGGAGGGAAAGGGAAAAAACAAATTGTTTAAATAGGGATACAGGTGGACCCATTGCAACAATGAGATGCACAAGTCGTTATGCCGAAAAACGAACTTTACAACTTTGGCGGGGAGGCTGAGGTGGGGTGGAGTAGGTGGGAGATGGGAAGGGATGGGAAGGGGATGGGAAGGGATGGGAAGGGGAAACAAAGGAGGAGGCTACAATGCTTGATAAGAAATGTACTCATTATCTTGCCCATGTAATTGTAACCCCTCTATATGGTATTTTCACAATAAAATATACAAAACAAAACAACAACAGCAACAAAAGAATCTCATGGCTTTTCCTGCCCAGGCTGGTTTTGAACTGTGATCCTCAGATTTCAGCCTCCTGAGTAGCTAGGATTACAAGTGTGAGCCACTGGTGCCTAGCTTGAGACATAAACTTTGAAACTATACCTAGTGATAGCTAAGATCCAAATGGCAAGAAGTTGCAAATGGGATTGCATCACAGAGTGAAGAGACAGCCAACAGATTGGGAGAATATCTTTGCCAGCTAGTCATCTGGCAGGAAACTAAGACTCAGACTTTATGATTTTTTTTTAGTGATACTGGGGGTTAAAATCAGAGCCTCCAGCTTGACATAGGTACTATACCACTTGATCCATGTTCCCAGCCCTTTTTGCTTTATTTATACCTGTGTTTAAGCCTGGCAGGACCTAGACTGTGATCCAGTTGTGTTTATCAAGTGGCTGGGATGACAGGCCTGTGGTACCATGTCCTCTTATTGGTGGAGATGGGAGTCTAATTAATTTTGTTTTGGCCCAAGATGGTTTCAAACTGTAATTTTGCCAATCTCTACCTCCTGGGTAGCTGAGATTACAGGTGTGAGCGACTTTATCTGGCCTAGAATTCTCACTATATAGCTCAGGGTGGCCTCAATTGGAAGATCCCCTTTGTCTTTGCCTCCTGAGTGCTGGGTTTATAGATGTCTACCACCACTCCTAGCTTTAGAATATACAAAGAAGAGAAAAAAATTAAACTCAAAAGAGCAGATACAACATTCAATAAATGGGCAAACAAACCAAACAGACACTTTTCAAATGAAGAATTATAAATTGCCAATGAGAACATGAAAAAAAGTGCAACATCTTTAACTATCCAGGGAATGCAAATTAAAACTACATTGAGCCGAGTCTAGTGATGTGTGCCTATAAGCCCAGCTACTTAGGATATTAAGGCAGATGGATTTCAAGTTTGAAGCCAACCTGTGCAGAGTTAATAAGATTCTATCTCAAAAACAAAATAAAAACGGAAGGGTTTTGGAAACATAGGTAAGTAATAGAGTGCTTGCATGGCAAGCATGAAGCCCTGGGTTCAATCCCCAGTACAGCAAAACCAAAAACAAGCAAGCAAGAAAACAAACAAACATTGACATTTCATCTCACATTAGTCAAAAAAAGTTTGGAGCTGGGAAGGTGGCTCAGTGGTAGAGCGCTTGCCTTGCCTGCCTGAGGCCCTGGGTTTGATTCCTCAGCACCACATAAGCAAAAAGAAAAAAGCCGGAAGTGGTGCTGTGGCTCAAGCGGTAGAGTGTTAGCCTTGAGCTGAAGAGCTGAGGGGCAGTGCCCAGGCCCAGAGTTCAGTCCCCACGACCAGACCCCCCCCCCCCCCCAAAATATATTTTTTGGATTCTTTATTCATTAGTTAATGTTATAAGACTTTATGATTGAGATTGGATGTTTTTATACTTACAAAAATGTTTGAAAATATTTAGAAAAATAATTAGCAAACCCTTTTAGTGAATAATTTAGCTAAAAGAATGTATTAGCTGTCATTTATATTGTGTCCATCCCATTAATCTTTGTAAGCCTGGTAAGCTAACATTCCAAAGAGACCACAAATGCACTTATACATGCTGACAAACAGAAAATGCAGTAATACATGCTGACAAACAGATACTAGTGATATGAAATCCTATTTATACAGAGACAGAGGTCTTTTTTTTTGTTGTTGTTGGTCATGGGGCTTGAACTCTGGGCCTGGACACTGTCCCTCAGCTCAAGGCTAGCGCTCTATCACTGGAGCCACAGTGCCACTTCCAGTTTTCTGAGTGGGTTATTGGAGATAATAGTTTCACAGACTTTCCTGCTAGGGCTGGCTTTGAACTGTGATCCTCAAATCTCAGCCTCCTGAGTAGCTAGGATTACAGACATGAGCCACCAGTGCCTGGCCAGAGCTTTTTTTGGGGTATGTGTTAGTAACTGGGACTAAAGCAGGGCTTTATAACACTCTTGCTTAGCTATTCCTGCCTTCCTTCCCACCCTCCCTCCTTCCCTTCCTTTCTTCCTTCTTTCTTTTCTTCTGTTGGCCATGGGGCTTAAACTCAGGGCCTAAGTACTGTCCTGAACTCTTTTTGTTCAAGGCTAGTGTTCTACCACTTTTTAGCCACAGAGCCACTTACAGGTTAATTGGAGGTAAGAGTTTCACAGACTTTCCTGCCCAGGCTGGCTTTGAACCACAATCTTCAGATCTTAGCTCCTAAGTAGCTACAAGTACAGGCATGAGCCACCAGTGCCCTGCCTTGCTTAGCTAATTCATTCAAGGCTAAGGCTCTACCACATGAATCACATCTCCGTTTCTGGCTTCTTTTGCTGATTGATTAGAGATAGAAGTTTTTCAGATTGGTCTGCCTGGACTGGCTTTGAACCATGATCCCTAGCTCTGTCTCCTGAATAGCTAACATTATGAGCTACTGGTGAGATTCAGCTTTCATAAAATGAAGCTATACAACTTCTATATGTATATATGTATATAAAGTGAAGCAATACAACAAGTGGACATGGAGGCAAATTTCAGTTGGTAGTTATACCTCTGTGACAAGTAGGAGAAATAAATGAGTTTTATCAAAAAAGGTGCTCCCAGGGTCGCTCTGGCAGACAGAGCCCATCATTCCTGGTCTCCATGGAGGATGTGAGACTCAGAGGGATATGCCAGTCAGTGCAAGAACAGATGAGTGCCAATATGCATCATCATAAACTGATGATATCAGAATCTCTTGATTCTGTGCACAATAACAGGAATGCTAGATGTGTGGATGATTATTGTTAAGACTAGTTCTGGGGCTAGATACCTGGATCAAGAGTGGGTTCTAGAGGTCACAGAATTGTGCTGTGATTTAAAAACAATGTCTAAAGTAGAAGTAAGAAAAAAAACCAAAGTAGAAATGAGGCATTCTTTCACATTTGTGTGTGTGTGTGTGTGTGTGTGTGTGTGTGTGTGTGCTGGTTCTGGATCCTGGGTCCTGGGCATTGTCCCCTAGCTTTTTTGCTCAAGGCTGGCTCTCTACCATTTGAGTCACAGCTCTACTTCCAGCTTTTGGGTGGTTACTTGGAAATAAGAGTCTCACCGACTTTCTTGCCAGGGTTTGGCTTCAACCTGTGGTTCTCAGATCTCAGCTTCCTGAGCAACTAGGATGACCGGCATGAGCCACCAGCATCTAGTTCACATTTTGTCATTTTCCACAGCTGCTCTTCAGTTCTGGGTGATTGAGGCAGTTCGTTTGATCATGCCTTTGAAAGCTTGAACCACTTGCTTGTTCCTCAGGGTGTAAATGAATGGATTCATAACTGGCGCGACAGAAGTTGTGAGCACCGACACCACCTTATTAACAGCTACCCCTTCTTTGGCAGATGGTTTCACATAGATGAAGATGCAGCTTCCATAAGTGATAGAAACCACAATTATATGGGAAGAACAAGTAGAAAAAGCCTTTTTCCTTTGATGGGCAGAAGGGAATCTGAGAATGGTCTTGATGATGTAGGTGTAGGACAGAGTCACACATGCTAATGTAAACAGCAGTGTCAGCACTGCCAAGGTTAAGACATACCGCTCTATAAGCTTTGTGTCAGAGCAGGTGATCTTCAGGAGAGGAGCAGCATCGCAGCCAAAGTGATCGATGACATTGGACTTGCAGAACTCAAATTCAAGACCCATGCCAAATGGTGGGATGACGATGATGAGGGCTATGATGTAAGAACTCACAAGCAATCTGATGCAAACCCTATTGTTCATGATGGTTGTGTAATGCAGGGGTTTGCAGATGGCCACATAGCGGTCATAGGACATGGCAGTCAGCAGGAAGAACTCAGTTACACCCAGGACGATAGCAAAGAACATTTGAGTGGCACATGCATTGTAGGTAATAGTATTGTCACCAGATGCCATTGTGTAGAGGAATCTGGGGATGCAGACAGTTGTGAATGTGACTTCCAAGATGGAGAAATTCCGTAGGAAAAAGTACATGGGTGTTTTTAGGTGAGAATCCACCAGTGTGAGAGTGATGATGACCAGATTGCCCACAACACTCAACAAATAGGTTAGAAACAAAAAGATAAAGAGCAGAATCTGTAGAGTTGAATCATCTGTTAGGCCCATTAGGATGAATGTAGTTATTGCTGTGTAATTGTTCATCACTGATTCCTGACTGTGGCCTGTTCTGCAATGTAAAGATAAGAGAAATTTGTTTGGAGATTGGAATTGTCGGCAGAGTTAATACTGGGTGAGGTAAGACTGTTGGTGATGGCAAATTTTTATTTGTTTCTTGTTAATAATGAGTGTTATTGGAGTTATAGTTAACCAATAATTCTATAGACAAACTCAGCCTTACACTAAAGTCAGATGACTTTATTATGATTTTTTTTGTGTGTGAAGGGCGGTACTGGGACTTGAACTCAGGGCCTTGAAGTCTTTTATCTTTTTTTTTTTCCCCATTCACAAATGGAACTCTACTACTTGACTCACTTTTGACTTTCTGCTGGTTATTTGGAGATGAGTTTCCCAGGTTTGTCTGCCTAGGTTGGCTTTGAATCATGATTTTCAGATCTCAGCCTCTTGAGTGGCTAGGATTACAGGTGTGAGCCACTGGTACCCAGCTTGTTAATGATTCCAATTACTATATTCATAGCACTAAGTTCTATGTTTAAGGCATTCTTTGATTGACAACCCCACAGAAACAAAGCTATTTTACATGATCTGTGAGACTGAATAGAAAGAACTTCTAAACCACATGTGGCTTGTGATCTGATTAATATAATAGCTATGGAAGTGCTCATCATCTTGGTTTGATGTGGGACCTGGAGTTCGGGTTGTGAAATTAAAATTATTCTGCTTTCTGCCCGGTGTTGCATTGACTTTCAAACACAAACCTCTCCAAGAAACGGTGGTGCTAGGAACTTCTAGAAATCTGACTTGAGTGTGTAATAAGTGGTTGGAGCATTACAATTTCTTTCTGAGGTATGGTAACATCTCTCAGGAAATGATCACTCTGGACCAAATGGAGAATGATGTCTGTTACCCTTCCTGATTCAGGCTTCCCGGGCCTCCATAGAATGCCTGCTCAGGTCCTCAGCCAGGTCTAAGCCCAGTTCATCTGTATCATTCTGTTTGTAAACATCAACATTCATTGGTGTCCTACTCTTGTAACAGGTACTGGAAAGCTGTTTTGGCTGAGTGGTGCTGAGTCTTTACTTGAGTTCATGGATTAATTAAAAGTAAGATAAAAGCTTGGCATTTTTGCCTTTATTTTCTAACTGTGTCTTTTGCCCCAAGCCATTCTTTCCTGTAGGCACATTGCAGCAGGAAGCCAGGAAGGAACTGTCAGGAAACAAGTCCAGTCTGCCAAGCATTAAGGATTCTTATTGTAACAAGTTCTCACTTGACCAATCCTGAGATACTGGGCTGTCACAAGTATCTGACTACCTCTAAACAGTCTCTGAATAGCACTCTTTAACTCTGCATACCTTTTGCCCCTGACCCTTAATTTTTTTCTCTCTTAACCCTATAACACATCTCTGTATCCTGAAGATGACTGAATAAGGGCTAGAATGCTATCTTCCCATGGTGCTTGTGCCATGTAATAAATCTCCTTCCCTTGCTTTTCACCATGTCTATTTGGCATATGTGAGCAAATAGGTAGACTTATAGAATCCCAGGTATTTGAATTTAGGGTCTAAAATTCCAGTTTCAATCTCATTTGAAACGTATTAGGGCAACTTGTGTAGGACACCATATGAAAGCTCATTGATTTATTGTGTTATTTTCCTAACAGAATGTTTTCAAATACGCCTTGTGATACTGTTCATTAAAGAGAGGGAATAAAGGGATACAGGTTGACCCATTGAAACAATGAGATGTACAAAACACTATGTTGAAAACGAACTTTACAACTTCAGGCATGGGGGGGCGGGGAGAGGGAGGAGTTGGGAAGGGGGGATGGGAAGGATGGTTGGAGAAAAACAAAGGAGGGGTAACAATGCTCATTAGGAAATGTACTCATTAACTTACTCATGTAACTGTAACCCCTCTGTACAGTATCTTTACAATAAAAATATATATTAAAAAAGAAATATAATTCAAGGAAAGGTTGTTTTACTAGATAATCAACTCATTTGTCCCTATTTGTAGCTTTTACAATTTATTAAATAGAAATTTCAGGTCCTTTGTGCAGAACTATTGGATAAAGTAGTTTGGAATAACCCATGAAAATATGAAAATCTGTATTAAAAAAATCTCTCTAGGTAATTAGATTTAAAGTTGGGAACTCCGGTTTATGCAATTCCTGATAGAGCCAGGATTAATCAGTATAGAGCACTAAGTAGTGTCCTCAGAACAGAAATAATAATTAAATGAATTGTATTTTTGAGACAATAATAACTGAAATTTTGGTTAGATAAATGAGTGAATATACTGAGATGTATGTTTCTTTCATGTGTAATGAATAGAATTTTGTTAATAGGAATTAGTATTTCCTATAAATATGTCTGTCAAAGCAAAGATCAGATAGTTAAATGCTTATTGCTTGTATCTGGTATCAGAAAAGTTAAAGGCCTGGTGTAGAGTGACTGCTCAATAAATGTTTCATAAGTCATTCAAAAATGTTTAAAAAAAAGAGGGAGAGGGAATCAAGCCAGGCTCTGGTGGCTCACACCTCTAATCCTAGCGACTCAGGAGGCTGAGATCTGGGAATCACAATTCAAAGCCAGCCTGGACAGGAAAGTCTGTGAGACTCTTATATCTTATATATAAGATATATAAGACTCTTGTATGGTTCAAAGTGGTAGAGTGTTATCCTTGAGCAAAAGAGCTCAGGGGACAGCGCCCAGGTCCTGAACTCAAGCCCTATGACAGATGTAGGGTGGGAGGGTGGGGGAGGGGTGCTGGTGGAAGAGGGAGAGAGAGAAGGAGAGAGAGGGAGAGAGAAAGAACGGGAATCATCCTCACTTGTAGACCTTCAAATTTAAACATTTGGTAGACATTTAGGATTGGGAATAAGAAATTTCTCCAAGATCTTTCCCTAACAAGGAATGCCTTATTCTTAAAATGTCTTTCCCAAACACTTTTTTTTCTAAAGTCTTATTAAAATCCAAATTTCACTTTTCAGAAAATAGAGTGCCATCCTTTAATTTTTTTTCCCGCCTTTGGTTGTTACTGGGGCTTGAATTCAGGGCCTAGGTACTGCCCCTTAACTTTTCTTCTCAATGCTAGTGTTCTATTACTTGAGCTACAGCTCCACTTCCAGATTTTTTGATAGTTAATTGGAGATAAGAGTCTCATAGGCTTTCCTATTCAGGTTGGCTTTTAGCAATGATCTTTATATCTCAGTTGCCTGCTAAGAATTCAAGTGTGATCCATCTGCACCAGACTTTGAGTTTTTATAGTGTTTCTTGTCAAGAAACACAATGCCAGGCATCAGTGGCTTATGCCACTGATAATCTTAGCTACTTAGGAGGCTGGGATCTGAGGATTGCTAAGCAAGCCTTGGTAGGAAAGCCTGTGAGATTCCTATCTCCAATTAACCACTAGAATACACCAGAAGTGTCACTGTGGCTCAGAGTGGTAGAGTGCTAGCTTTGAGCCAAAGAGCTTGGGAACAGTGCCCAGTTCCTGAGTTCAAGTCCTATGATCAGAAAAATGAAAGTAACACTGCTAATTGTATTTTAGGTTTTGAAACTCGTAAGTCAAAGCCTTTTGCCCTGTGACTTTCAAGGACTTGAGTTCTATATGGTCAACAGCTAACATGATGAAAGTAAGTAAATCATACTCACAATTCTGATGGCTGTTTATGGCTCCCATGGGCAACTTAACCACAAAGATCTTTAGGGGACTCTTGCCAAAGAGTTTGTTAATTCTGATGTTATCACTACACTTTCCATGTAACTGGTGCTTGCCATCACTGCCAAGTGTGTGATTAGAGATCTCCTAGGTTCCCATTGCCCATAAAACCCAAGTCTTCCTCAAATGTCCTTTCTCTCCAGCAAGTCTTATAAGAACACCAAAGGGTATGTTCTTTCTCACTCTGAAAATTTTTTGTCGCTCTAATGCCAGTAAAAGCGCACATTAGTGTCGAAAGAGTTTAAGACCAAAGCGATGACAAACATTTTAGTTGGAGTAGTAGCAGTATCTAGACCTCTCTACAGGAAGCGGGGTTGCCCTGTAAATTCTCTATTAATAAGAATGGTATAACTTATATCTATTTGGTTCTCAACAGATATTTAGTGATCATTTGATTAAAGAAAAACCCAAACTACAATACCCTTTGGGATTCTAGATACGAAAAGTGCTAATTAACCTCTAGTGTAATAGACTTTGTGAGGAGAAGAATTCAACAGCTATCAGTGGGTATGGTGCTGGTGGGAATGGGGAGATGAAACAACAGAATCATAAAGAGGAAAGGTGCAAAACACCCAGAAGAGAAAGCACCTGGTGGCTTCTTTGCCCCTTTTCTTTTCACTGCAGAGGGATTCTTCAAGGGACTTCAAAGATGCCTCACTAGGGATTCCCAGACATGTTGCCTTTGCATTAAGTCACACATCTTCTACCACAGGAGAAATAGCTTTTGCTTCGGTTTTTGAGCTCTCCATAACCCGAAGTGTGTTTCGCCCATTTGTGTGACTCATTATCATTAGTGCTTAGAAAAGTGAGCACTCACTCTTCCTCTTTCAATTAATTTTTTTAATTAAGTTTTTTATTGTGAAAATACTGTACAAAGGGGTTACAGTTACATGAGCAAGGTAATGAGTTTATTTCCTTTTTTTTTTTTTGGGTCCGGTCGTGGGGCCTGAACTCTGGGCCTGGGCGCTGTCCCTCAGCTCTTCAGCTCAAGGCTAGCACTCTACCACTTGAGCCACAGCGCCACTTCCGGCTTTTTTCTTTTTGCTTATGTGGTGCTGAGGAATCGAACCCAGGGCCTCGGGCATGCAAGACAAGCACTCTACCACTGAGCCACCTTCCCAGCCCATGAGTACATTTCTTACCCAGCATTGTTGCCTCCTCCTTTGTTTTTCCCCTACCAATTAATTTTTTTCCAATTAATTTTTTAATATACTCTCAGATCTCTCTAGTAACAAATTAGCAAAAGAACAAATCCTTATTTATTTACTTTAAAAATTATCCTTACCGGATGTCCCTCCCCCACAGTGTAACCCCCGCTTTCACTATATTTGATGTCAGTATAACATGTGGAGGAGATGGGGACAAACAAGTCGTTTAAGGATTCAGGTGGACCTGTTGCAACAATGAGAAGTACAAAATGTCATGTCAAAACCAGCTTTACAATGTCGGTGTGGGGGAGGGAGGGGGAGTATGATTGGGTGGGGGGGAGGGGGGAGGCTGGGAAGGGAGGTGAAAAATAAAATAAAATAAAAAAAAAAAAGAAAAAAAATTATCCTTACCGGGCGCTGATGGCTCACACTTGTAATCCTAGCTAATCAGGAGGCTGAGATCTGAGGATCACGATTCAAAGCCAGCCCACACAGGAAAGTCCACCAGTCTCTTATTTCCAACTAACACAGAAAAAACTGGAAAGTAGTGTTGTGGCTCAATAGTAGAGGGTTAGCCATGAGCAAAAGGAGCTTAAGGATAGCACCCAGGCCCAGAGTTCAAGGCTCAGGCCCGGGACAAAAAGGGGGTTTCAATTCAACATTTCAGTTTATGAGCACAGTATGTCTTGGTCAATGTCATTTCTTCTATCATTCTTCCCCATGTGTCGAAACCCCACTCCTCCCTTCGTATCGAAATATATATATATATATATATATATATGTATATGTATGTGTATATATATATATATATAGAGAGAGAGAGAGAGAGAGAGAGTGAGTTAATAAAAGAAGTGAAGGACCTCTATGACAAAAACTTTAAAAACCTGGAAAAGGAAATTAAAGCAGAACTAAGCAAGTGGAAAACTTCCCATGCTCCTGGATTGGATTAACTTCATGAAGATGGCAATACTGCCAAAGGCAATCTACGAATTCAATGCGATATCCCAATCTCATTCTTCAATGAAATAGAAGAAGCAACCTAAAAAAGACCCCGAATAGCAAAAAACAATCCTTAGTAGAAAGAACAGTGCTGGAGGAATATCAATTCCAAATTTCAAACTCTACTACAAAGCCATAGTAATCAAAACAGCTTGGTACTGGCACAAGAACAGACTTGAGGACCAATGGAATAGGACTGAAGACCCAGTGCTGAGGAATCGAATCCAGGGCCTCATGCTTGCAAGGCAAGCGCTCTACCACTGAGTCACCTTCCCAGCTCAGTTGGGGAGGCTTTAAAATATTCAAAGTAGCTCTGGCCTAACTCTCTGTTCTGTGATGGCACACTTGGTGTGATTCTCTGGCTTAGGACTGGTCACTGGATCACTAAAACTGCTTTCTATGCGAGAGCTTGTTTAACCTCCAGCTTCTCCTCCTCCATCTTCCCAGAACCCAGATGCTCCTCAGTAGATGAATGGATCAAGAAAATGTGGTATATATACACTATGGAATTCTATGCCTCCATCAGAAAGAATGACATTGCCCCATTTGTTAGGAAATGGAAAGACTTGGAAAAAATTATATTAAGTGAAGCAAGCCAGGCCCAAAGAAACATAGGTCCCATAGTTTCCCTTATTTGCAATATCTAGTATATGTCTGAGTCAAGCAGAAAAGGTCAGATAAGGTGATGTTAGGGAAATGAACCCTAAGATATGTATTCAAATGTTTTTTTTTCTTTCATGCGATTGTTTCTAGCACATTTATAAGATGATTTCTTTGTTGCTTTGTATGCCCCTCCCCCATAGTATAACCCCTGCTTTCACTGTATTTGATGTCGGTATAATTTGTGGAGGGGAAGGGGAAAAACAAATCGTTTAAATAGGGATACAGGTGGACCCATTGCAACAATGAGAAGTACAAGTTGTCATGTCCAAACGAACTTTACAACTTTGGTGGGGGGGGGGGAGGGGGAGCGGGGAGAATTAGGTGGAGGGGTAGGGGGAGGATGGGAAGGGATGGGAAGGGGAAACAAAGGAGGAGTACTCATTATCTTGCCCATGTAATTGTAACCCCTCTGTACAGTATTTTCACAATAAAAAAAAAAGAGAAAGCACAAAAAAATATTCTAAGTAGCTTTTCTGTCTAAAGAATGGCCATTTTGGGATCAATTGTGCTAATAAACAATGTGTTTCCTGAGGAGGGTATCTTGATATTGGGGACTAATAAAGATTCTTTGTTGCCATCTCCAAGAACAAAAGCAAAATAGATATTTAGAAGAAGGCACTCCAGAGAGACTGGAGAGCAATTGCAATGGGAGCAACAAACACAAGTCATCAGCAGTATAAGGAGGAAAGCATCTGAGTAGGAGTACTGGGCCAAATGTCATTTTGGGATTGGCTGGTCAGCAGAAGGGATCTCTAAATTTTCTTTCAAGTCTATCATTTAGAGAGTGAGGAGTCTTTATCAGCATAAAGAAAGTCATTATTATTTAACTGGAGGATGGTATTTATTTTGTATAGACCCTTGAAATTTCTTTTAAAGAATAGCTTTAGATTACAGAGAAATTGGGAAGATAATACAGAGTTTGAGCCACACATACCTTATGTGCGCCCATTTCCTTTTATTAATAATATCTTCCATTATCATGATGAAGCTGATAATGATGACTTGAACATAAAAGGCAATATATATGCACACACACATATATGTGTGCATATATATATATATATATATATATATATATATATATATACTGTTCTTTGGTGCTGGTAGTGGGGCTTGAACTCAGGGCGTAGGCACAGTCCTTTAGCTTTTTTGCTCAAAGCTAGCACTCTGCCATTTGAACCATACCTCTTCTTCCAGCTTTTGGTGGTTATTAGAGATAAGAGTCTCACAGATGTTCCGGTCCAGGCTGACTTGGAACCACAATCCTCAGATTTCAGCCTCCTGAGTAGCTATGATTACAGGCAGTGATGGTAGAAGACATTGAATGCTGGGAGCCTTGTTCTTTCTTTATTGTAGTCATATCCTATTTCAAGATACAATAATCTCAGGTAATAATCCCAGATAATTTCTGGAAAGTCCAGTGGAAATGCTTTTTGGATATTAGTTTAAAAGGAAGAGTGATCATTCTTATGGATTTTGAAATTTCACCATTAGCACCTTTTACATATTTCTGAAAAAAATGTACATTTTAAAACTATATATAAAACTGGAGGGGCTGGGAAGGTGGCTCAGTGGTAGAGCGCTTGCCTTCATGCATGAGGCCCTGGATTCGATTCCTCAGTACCACATAAACAAAAAGAAAAAAGCCGGAAGTGGCGCTGTGGCTCAAGTGGTAGAGTGCTAGCCTTTGTGAAGAGCTGAGGGACAGTGCCCAGGCCCAGAGTTCAGGCCCCACAACCGGATCCAACAAACAAACAAACAAACAAACAAGAAACTGGAGCTAGGAAGGTTGAGGGTGTGGGAGGCTGGGAAGGATAGGAAAGATGATGAGGGATGACGTTGACCAAGATGCATTTTACTCATAAATTGATATGTTGAATTGAAACCTCTTTGTACAACTACTTAAATAAAATAAAATAAAAAATTTAAAGTGAAAACAAACACAAAACAAAACAAGAAAGAGCTCTGGAGTGCTGCATTTTGCTTTACATTGTTTTTCAAGTTTCAGTGAAGAATCTTTAATTACTCTTCAACAATTTGGGCTCAATATGAAAGTCTTCTCCCAAAGTGAGGGACAGTCCCTGAGTATTTAGAGTCTGACTGTACATATGGCAAGAAGTACGTTTGTTTACTTGTATGTTCTCTTTTTAACATTAGGGATTTGGGAAATCTAATCTGTGGTGCATACTATAATTGAAAAAAAATCATTCTAAGTTAAGTTTATAAAGAAAGTGAAATAAGTTGACTGGTCTTGTTTTAGATGATAAGAACAAAAAAAAAGAAAACCACCCCTGGGGTAATAGTATATTGATGAAACTGTTCAATAGGAAGAGATCTTATATATGTGAAGTTCATGACTATTGCTCACGGTTGCTCATAGTTCAATTCCGTTTGATGCAGCAACAGGTTCTTACTTCTTTGTGAGAAACACAATCCGTTTTACTGTGTCTTTGAAGGCTTCTTTCACTTGTTTGTTTCGAAGTGTGTAAATGAAAGGGTTGAGCAAAGGGGCAACAGAGGTTGTGAGTACAGACACTACCTTATTAATGGCCACACCCTCCTTTGCTGAGGGTTTGATGTAGATAAAGATACAGCTGCCATAAGTGATGGAAACCACGATCATGTGGGAAGAGCAGGTAGAAAAGGCCTTTTTCCTTTGTTGAGCAGAAGGGAGCTTTAGGATCGTCTTGACAATATATATGTAGGACAGGACCACACATACTAGAGTAACAATGAGTGTCAATATGGCAAAACTCAAGATAATCTTCTCAATGAACACTGTGTCTGAGCAGGTTATCTGCAGAATAGGAGAGGTATCGCAGCCAAAATGATCAATCACATTTGAGTCACAGAATTCCAGCTGGAGGCCTACACCAAGAGGTGGCAGAATGATCAGCAAGCCAGCACCCCAGCAGCAGAGAACGAGTATAGTGCAAACATGGTTGTTCATGATGGTTGTATAATGCAAAGGTTTGCAAATGGCCACATAACGGTCATAAGACATGGCAGCCAGGAGAAAGAATTCTGTTGCTGCAAAGAGGACAATAAAAAACAATTGGGTGGCACAAGCATTATAAGTAATAATATTATCTCCTGTTGTCATACTATACAGGAATCTGGGAATACAGGCTGTGGTGAATGAGATTTCTAAGAAAGAGAAATTCCGGAGGAAAAAATACATGGGAGTTTTAAGACGGGAATCCACAAGCGTGAGGGTGATAATGATGAGGTTTCCAGTCACACTTAACATGTAGGTAAGAAACAAAAATAAGCAAAGTACAAGTTGTAGTTTGGGGTCATCTGTTAATCCCAGCAGGATGAATGTTGTTATTGCTGTATGATTTCTCATCACTACCTTGTGCCAAGTGACAAGTGATTGAACCTAGAGAGAGAGAGAGAGAGCGAGAGAGAGAGAGAGAGAGAGAGAAAGAGAGAGAGAGAGAGAGGGGCAGAGAGAGACAGAGAGAGACAGAGGGACACACACAGAGAGACAGAGAGATAGAGAGAGCCATAAAAATCTGGTAATGTAATCAGAATGAAGATATCCCAATTGGCCAGCTTACACACATTTAATCTTTTACTTGATTAGTTTGTTAACATAGCTTTGCAATCAATGTCCTACTAGGAGATGTTTAAAAAGTATCTCATGTAAGCTGGGTGCTGGTGGCTCATGCCTGTAATCTTAGCTTTTCAGGTGGCTGAGATCTGAGGATAGCGGTTCCAAGTCAGCCCAGGTAGAAAAGTCCTTATGAGACTCTTATCTCTGATTAACACTGGATATGGCACTGTGGCTCAAAGTAGTAGAGCACTAGTCTTGAGTAAAAGAGCTCAGGGACACTGCCCAGGCTCTGAGCTCAAGCCTCATGACTGACCAAGACTTCATGACAAAACATACAATTTATTTCTCAAGTAATTGCTCTCAGATATCCATCTTGTAAGAGAAATATGCTGAATTTACTCTCACAAGGATACCAGTAAGCTTAGGTGAAGTTAATTGTTAAATGAGCAATTTTAAGTATGGCTCAAGAGTTTTATAGAAAAGCTGTATAAGAATAATTGCTTAGATTTTTTAAAGATAACTTCTGTTTTTACTCAAAGTATATATCTGGCATTTGAAAGTCAAAGTTTGTTTTCACTGTTAAGTAAATAACCAACATCTACTCATGTCAATAGTTGTTTAATGAGCACTTATTATTTGAAGAGCATAGTATCAAGGGTGGAGATACCACTGTGAACAAGTTGCTCCTGGAAAGAGCTTTTGGGCCACCACAAGTGGCAGATAATATTTCTTTTCTGTGCATTCCAGTGACATAGTAACACAGATTATAGTGGGAATATAAACTTACATGTGTGTTTCTTGAGAACTGCCCTTAGTTATACTGGCAGCTAATCATAGCAGTTCATCTTTTCCTATTCAGGTTCCCTGGGCAATTTTTTTAAAAAAAATATTATCTTTAATAGTTGTTCAAAAGGACTTGAATTCAACATATCAGTGTGTAATCACAATACCTTTAAGCAATGTCACCACTTTTATCATTCTCCCCCATTACTCCTAACTCCACCTATTCCTTCATATTCACGCTTCCGTTTTCATGTATGAACATTCAATACTAAGACTGCATTCTCCCACCCTGCCTCTCTCCACTTGTCTGCCCTGGGTTCTTCCCTTTCTTCTAACTTGTCAGTCTAAGCTGTCACGGGATGAGAAGTTAGCAAAGCACATTGGTTAGGTTCACAGGCTTGTGATTCTTGGAACAAAGAAATGTCCCCTCTCCTTGGCTCATGGGAGCAATAGTTTACTGGAGAGATGATATTTTGCCATGTCTTTGCTACAAGTCTCTGCCAGATGAGTATAGTGATAGATCAAGTTCATTTCTTTGCTTTTTTTTTTTTTGGTATTGGGGATGAATCTCAGGACTTCATGCTTGCTGGGCATGTGCCCCCAGTCCCATTTCTGCATTTCTGATTTCTCTTTCCCTCTTTCCCTTTTGTACTTTCTTCCTTACATCACAGACTGTTTCAATAGCAGCCTTAGACTTTCTGATTCCAGCCCTCCTCTCTCCTATGGAACACTGCAGTTAAAAAAATCACTCCTTCTCCTTACCAAAATATGTATTCTTAGTCCGGCACAGGTAGTTCATGCCCATAATCTTAGCTACTTAGGAGGCTGAGATCTGAGGATCGTGGTTTGAAGCCAGCCTGAGCAGGAAAGTCTGTGAGACTTATCTCCAATAAACTACTTAGAAAAAGCCTGAAGTGGTGCTGTGGCTCAAGTGGTAGAGCAGCACTCTAGGCTCTGAGTTCAAACCCCAGGACTGGAATAAACAAACAAAATATTTATTCTTCTGTATTATTAGAAAAGTCTGAAGAATTTAATCATTATAGCATTTGAATGCTTGTTAATATTTAAAGTGTCTAAAATGTGTTAGATTTCAGGGGCATTACTCTTTAATTCACAAAACTTGTTAAATAAACACTACTAAAAGCAAAGCTAAGTACATTTATTGGCTATTAATTGATGCAAGTTTCTTCATTTTATTCGCAAATGTTCGCTGGGCCAAGGGGTTTCATTGAGATTTTTGCATATATGCAAATAACATACTTGGACCAACCCATCCCCTCTGTCACTCCTCCTCATTCCTCTTCCCTCTTCATGGGACAAATCCAATAGGCTTGATTGCTGTGTTTTCATACATAGAAACACTGTGTGTGTGTGTGTGTGTGTGTGTGTGTGCGCGTGCGCGCGCACTGGTCTTGGGGCTTGAACTCAGGGCCTGGGTCCTGTCTTTGAGCTTATTTTGCTCAAGGCTAGCTCTGTACCACTTGACCCAGAGCTCCACTTCTGGCTTTTTTTCTTTTTTCTTTTTTTGGTTAATTGGGGATACGAGTCTGATGGCCTTTCCTGTTTGGGCTGGCTTGACCAATGATCTTCAGATTGCAGCCTCCTGTGTAGCTAGGATTATAGGTATAAGCCACTATACCTGGCTGTAAAACACTACTTTTTAATAATGCATTAATCCTGTTATGGTAGATTCTTTGGGCATAACATTAGTTCATATGTACATATATATATGTACTGAACTTTGATTCAGGACTTTGTGCTTGCTTGGTTGTCACCCTACCACTTGACCCACAATTCTAGCCCTGAGTTTTGCTGGCTATTTTGGAGAGAGGGAGTCTCATGGATTTTCTAGCCAGGCTGTCTTTGAACTGTGATCTTCTGGATTTAGTTTCTTGAGTGGCTAGGATAACAGATGTGAATCATTATTATCTGGCTCATTTTGATCTTTATTTACCAACAACCATACCAGTGGTTTATGTTATATTGGGAAGATTTCCCTGGGAGGCAGAAAGATACTTATTTTTGTAGTTTGGATCAATTAAAATTTGAAATAATTTTATTAAATAAGTAATAAGCTTAACATCCTCCCTCCTATAAGTACTATTTGAATGATCATGAACAGACAACCCTTGGCGACTTAACCAATGTAGGACCACTAACTCTAAGGCACTTTGGTAATTCTGGGACAGATTACAAGTCAGTCATTTTCCTTCAGAGATTCTCTAGCAAATTCACAAACGTATTTCAAACTCTTTATTTGAAACAGATTGAATTCTGACTTCCTTGGAGATAGAGGTTGCCCTTGGACTGATTGAATAATTTAGCTTCAAAGAGTTTGAATGCTGCATCTCCCAAAAAAGTGGCAAGAATGTCATAAATACCTGATGGACAATAGGCTAAAGTTATAATAAGATCATTTCTAAAACTGATTTTGATTTCCATGACACCAATGGATATTACTGGCGGAGCTCTCTTTTCCATTGTTTGTTAAATTTCTATGAAGCAACAACTGTCTCAACAGATAGTTATGGCTAAGATAAAGGGTGAAGTAACTTTCGCAGGAGAATTCTAATTTCATGTGCATTCAGAACAATAATTTACTACAAGTGCTCATCAAAACCTTACTGAAATATAATAGTAGTGAATTGAATTCAGATTTCAGAACTGTTGACCCTCTGCTTACATTTAGAGACTATGGGAAAATATTCACAACAATTGCACATATATGTACTTACATTTTTTTTGGTTGATTATGGGGCTTGAACTCAGAGCTTGAGCACTGGTCCCTGAACTCTTTTGCTCAAGCCTACCACTCTACCATTTTGAGGCACAGCTCCACTTCTGGTTTTGGTGTTTAAAGCCACCCCAGGCTAGCTTTGAAGTGTAATCCTCAGATCTAAGCCTTCTGAGTAGTTAGGATTATAGAGATAAGCCACCAGTGCCTGGCTTTTTAAAAACAAACAAACAACAAACAAACTGCATTTTGTCTTTTCTTTTTTGGTTCTGGAGACTGAACCCAGAAAGTTGTACTTGCTAAACTAAAGTGCGTTGCCATTGAGCTATATCCCAGACCCAGATGTACTTACTTTTTGAGAGTTCTTCATTGGAGGTGCTTGACAGAACCACAATTTGAGGATCATTAGCTGGCAAGAAGGTTTGTGTGTACTCTCTTTCCACTCTTACATTTTTCTTCCAATATACATGTAAGATCTCTCTCTTTGTCTCTACACACACACACACACACACACACACACACACACACACACACACACACACACACACACACACACACACTCAGGTGAGTTCTAGTCTAGATTGGTATTGCCCCTGCTACAGTAAGATTAGTCACAGTTCTTTGTTCCCTCTCCATATCCAAAATGACATCTTATAGTATAGACTTCCCAGTTATTCTGTGACTTCAAAGGAAGAAGAGAGTGGCATAGAGAAAATGGATTTTTTTTCTTGGGCAGGGGGGCAGGCTTCCCTGCAATTTCTGTCATGGTTACACTTCTTTTATGTTGCCTGCAGTGCTCAGGGAACATTTGAGTTAACCATCAAACAGTCCTTGGTGAGTCAGTTTGAGAAATTAGTAACAAATTGGAGACAGTCTAATCAGCAACAGAAAAATTCCTGTAGCAATGGGGACAAAGTCCTCTGAGACCTCGAGGGTGGATCTGCATCATCTCAATTCTGCTGTGATTCCTCTGTGGAAACTTTAGGTTTCTCCCAGGATGAAGTGCTCTGCTTGCTATTTTAAAAATATTTTATTGCTGGTTGCTAGGCAGGTGCTCTACCACTTGAGCCATGCCTCCAGCCTGCCTGCTACTTTATAGATAAAATTGTTATCTTTAAGGTACATATCATAGAAAATAAAAAAATATATTTTTTTTGGAAATTAAAAACTTATTTGTTTTGCAAATTAGAGAACTGAAAACCCGGAACTGATCAGTGAGTATGCCCTGCAGTGCTGGTGCAGGTTCCAAACAGGACTTTATCTCAGCTCAAAGATTCTGCTTTTCTGGGATTTACACTGTATCATGGCTGTAATACTTAGGAGCATCTCCAACATCCACATTCCAGACTTGATGCTCTGGTGCTGCTGTCTGGACAGGATTTTCATCTTATCCTGCCCTACTTAAATCTTTTCAGATGAGCAATGAAGCCACTTTTGGTATTTGAAGAGCAACAAAGAAGTGTTCATCCCAATCACAGACTTAAAACCTGATTGGGACTGGGAATGTGGTTTAGTGGCAGAATGCTTGCATAGCGTGCATGAAGCCTTGGGTTTGATTCCTCAGTACCACATAAACAGAAAAAACTTGAAAGTGGTAGAGTGCCAATGTTGAGCAAAAGAAGCTCAAGGATAGTGCCCAGGCACTGATTTCAAGCCCCAGGATTGTTGTGTGTGGGCACACGTGCCACACCCACACCTGATTGGTCCTAGATGTATTTTCTGTTTTGCTCTGATCTATCACTACCCAGTGAAGGTGAATAAGGTTTCCTTTCTTGATCATTGCTGCTGCTGTTTCTGAATACAGACTCTTGATGGTACCTGATCCTGTTGTCAAATGATGGAGCAGATGCTCAGAGGTGCTGCTCTCCCCAAAGTCCCCAGTTTCCCCTCAGCTGCTCTCCCCTGTCCACTCCGCTTTGCTCTCCTGAGGTGTCTTACATGTCTAGCCAGATCACACCATTCCTGTCTGTCACCAAAGAGTGAGCAGACAGTGGTTGAACACTTTTTCTTTTGCAAAGGCTAGAGAGAAACATATATGTCCCTGTATAAGGTTTTGAAGGTTATATTTATCAATGGGCTGTGGTTGTAAATGATAATTTCCTCCCTCCTCATCTTCCTCCTGCTCCTCCTCTTCTTTCTGTTTCTATTTCTTCTCTCCCACCTCCTCTTTCTTTGTCTTCTTGTTACCGAATGCTAGCTTTTCTGAGGCTGGCAAAGAGACTAGATAAGTTACCAGCCTTTCTTTATACTGGTATCTTTGTGTGACTAAGATTGTGGCCATGGATATACCCTATGATTATTTTAAATGCTTATTATGACTGTATAGCTAGTTACTTCCCTGTAACTACTGTAGTTGCACTTTATAATGTTCCCACACATTTTTAATAATTGTTTTCCAAGTATGTTTCTTAGGAATGTTTCAAATTTATTTAAAAAAGATGTCCCCTATCTTGCCCATGTATTTGTAACCCCTCTGTACGGTATTTTCACAATAAAAAAAAAAAAGATTTCCCCTGGGTCAGAAAATGTGCTTTGTATGGTTTGAGTCCTCTTCAATTCATCAAAACTTATTATATTATCTATATATTACCTGTAGCATTTATCTATATGTTATCTGTGAATTTTGAAATAGCTTTGCTCTTCTTTGGTTGGAGAGTCTATAAGTCAGTCAGTGGGTTTGTATTGACAGAGGATATTGCTCAAAGTTTCTACATAACTACATTTCTGGTATTGGTTCAACTAGTTGACACAGGTGTACTGAAATTTCTAATTGTGGTAGTGGATTTGTCTTTTTCTCTTTGTGGTGTTATCAGGTTTTCCTTCATGCATTTTTTTCTTTCTTTTTGTGCCAGTTCTGGGACTTGAGCCACTGGCTCCCACCTTTATTATTATGAAGGAATTGTACAAAGGGGTTACAATTCCATAAGTTAGACAATGAGCACAATGCTTCTTCGACAGTATCACCCCTTCCTTTGCTTTCTCCCACTTTCCCTCTCCCATCCCTGCCCATAAGTTGTATAGCGTGTATGTGTGTGTGTGTGTGTGTGTGTGTGTGTGTGTGTGTGTGTGTGCCAGTCCTGGGGCTTGACCTTGGGTGTTGTCCCTGAGCTTCTTTTGTTTTGTTTTGTTTTGTTTTTTGGGCCGGTCGTGGGGCCTGATCGCTGGGCCTGGGTGCTGGTGCTGTCCCTCAGCTCTTCAGCTCAAGGCTAGTGTTCTACCACTTGAGCCACAGTGCCACTTCCGGCTTTTTTGTTATGTGGTGCTGAGGAATCGAACCCAGGGCCTCAGGCATGCAAGGCAAGCACTCTACCACTGAGCCACCTTCCCAGCCCGTCCCTGAACTTCTTTTGTTCAAGGCTATTGCTCTACGACTTTAGCCACAGCTAAAGTGAGAGAAGAGTCTCAGAGTCTCAGAGTTTCATGCCTGGGCTAGTTTTGAACTGAGATCCTTAGATCTCAGCTTCCTGAGTACTTAAGATTATAGGCATGAGCCGCTGGTGCCTGGCTTATAGTTCATTTTTTACATAGTGTAGATTGAATACCATGACTGTGTTTGCTCACCCTTTCTCCCTCTATGCCTGTTTCCTGCTGGATTTGATTTAATTTTACATTTCAGTTATATATTTGTCCTATATACTGCTTGAGGGAAGGGTTACTTTTGTTTTTTTTGTTTGTGTCTTATTTCAAATATTGGACATGAATGAAAATAAATGTATATATATATATATATATATATTTAATGGACAAGGTATATGTTGTAAAATGTGGATCAATAATAAAAATGAAGATGATTGTTTCTTGACTATCTTATATTTCATTAATGTCCATATTTTGTTGATTAAATTTGTTAGCTTTTGCCATTTTTAAGACAGATGTAATATGAAGTTTTTTCCTTTGGAAAACTAGTAACAGGACATCAATGTTCATGAGAAGTGAAACTATGTGACTTTACTTAGCCAAGTTGTACATGCAATAAACATCTGTTGTTGTTGCTGTGGGGCTTGGAAGCTGTCCTTGAGCTCTTTTGCTCAAGGTTAGCACTCTACCACTCTGAGCCACAGCTGTACTTCTGGTTTCCTGGTGATTAATTGGAGGTAAGAGTCTTGCTGACTTTCCTGCCTAGGCTGGACCTCAGATCTCAGCTTCCTGAGTAGCTAGGGTTACAGGTATGAGCCACCCAGCTTCAAGAAACATTTTTGAGAAGTTTTATGTGAATGAGCTTTAGATTTGTCAAAAAAAAAGATGCTTTCGGAAATTAATGGTGTGTGCTTTGGAGAACCCATCTCCAAAGTAATAATCTTTGCTGTTCCTTTACTTCTTGGACAACGAGGCCATTCTTTTGACTGAGTCCTGGAAGGCTTGTTTTACTTGCTTGTTCCTCAAGGTGTAGATGAAGGGATTCAGCAGAGGAGCGATGGAGGTAGTTAGCACTATTACACCCTTGTTGATTGCTACTGAATCCTTTGCAGAAGGTTTGACATAGATGAAGATGCAGCTGCCATAGGTGATAGAAACCACGATCATGTGAGAAGAACAGGTAGAAAAAGCTTTCTTCCTTTGCTGGGAAGAAGGAAATCTCATGATAGTCTTGATGATAAATACGTAAGAGAGAACTACACAAAGAAGTGTTGTGATAAAGGTCAACACGGCACAGCCTATAACCATCTGCTCGATGACCCATGTGTCTGAGCATGAAATCTTCAGGAAGGGAGACACATCACAAAGAAAGCTATCAATGACATTCGAATCACAGAATTCCAGATTTTGGCTCAGGCCAAATGGTGGGAGAATGATTAGCAAGCCAGCTACCCAACAGCAAAGGATGAATCTTCTGCAGACGCTGGTGCTCATGATGGTGGCATAATGCAGAGGATTGCAGATGGCCATGTAGCGGTCATAAGACATGGTGGCCAGGAGAAAAAATTCCGTCACCCCAAAAAGATCGGTAAAAAAGGCTTGTGTGGCACAAGCACTATAGGTAATCGTTTTGTCACCTGTGGCTAGGTTATACAAGTATCTAGGAATGCAAGCGGATGTGAATAAGATTTCTAAGAAGGAGAAATTCTGCAGGAAAAAGTACATTGGTGTTTTAAGGTGAGGATGTATAAGCGTAAGGGAGATAATGGTCAGGTTCCCAGTGATACTCAATAAGTAGGTAAGAAACAGAAAAATTAAGAGTAGGCTCTGAATTTGTGCATCATCTGTTAGTCCCAGGAGGATGAAGGTTGTGACTGTATGGTTTCTCATAATTGGCTCCTTCCTGGGCTTTGTGGCCTTCATGAAAAAAAAATATATTAGAATATAGGTATGAACGTTATACAGTGATGTACAATGAGAAGTAAACTAAAACAAGTAACTAGTTCGTGTGAGATTTATTCTGTACTTGGCAGCTAATATTGTCAATATTCTTTCCTTTTTTTTGATCAGTTGTGGGGCTTGAACTCTGGGCCTGGGCACTGTCCTTGAGCTCTTTAGCTCAAGGCAGGCACTCTACCACTTGAGCCACAGCACCACTTCTGGTTTTCTGGTTGATTGGAGATAAGAGTCTCACAGATTTTCCTGCCTGGGCTGCCTTTGAACCACAATCCTCAGATCTCAGCCTCCTGAGTACCTAGGCACGAGCTACATGCACCTGACTCCTGAATCAATTTTTACTGATGATACATCCAGTAGTAAGGTCTTATTTCACTCTCAGGTATTCTTCTCTATTTTGAAGTTGAAGTATTAAAGTACGCTGACAGGTTCATATCTTGCCAGTAGGAAAAATGATCAGGTAGTCTACTATAACAATAACAAGAATTGGACTTGCCTAGGGACCCTCCAAAATTTTCTTCATCTACTCATCAGTTATAAGGCATCCAGGCTATTTCCATAAATAATAAGAATGGTTGTACAGATGACTTTATTATTATTTTTTTCCTGATAAAAGCCTGAGTGGTATCACTGGATTATAGGGTAATTCTACTTTTAGGTTTTTTGAGGAATCTCCATACTGACTTCCATAGCCAATTACACTGATTTAAATTCCCATACCCAGTTGCACTAATTTACATTCCCATCAGTGTATTTATTTACTTAGAGACAGAGTCTTACCCTGTCTCACTAAAGTTTGGCCTGGAACTCATGAGCTTTTGGCCTCAGTCTCCTGAATACTGAGATTATGGGAATATCCTACAAGCCAAGGTTAATTATAATTTCATGTTCATCCTTTATAACAAAATAATATTTTAAAATTATGTTAAGCAGAAAGTTTATATATACTATGGGTGTCAAGTACATGATTTCATGTGATAATTCTTCTCTCTGTACTAAATTTGTACTTCTTCTCTCTCATTCAGTCCCAATCTCTTGGGCTGGGAATGTGGCTTAGTGGTAGAGTGCTTGCCTGGCATGCGTGAAGCCCTGGGTTCAATTCCTCAGTACCACAAAAACAGAAAAAAAACCAAACAAACCCAATGTCAGTCCTGATCTCCTTTGTAGAATTGAGGTATGGCAGCCACATACATCTCATACTGAACACACAAAGCTGATTTTATGGATTCTGTATCTCTGTATATTAATTCTCCCATGTATTCACTCTAATAAAGCTAACCACTTATTGGAACAAAACACATATGAGTATGTCAGGTGTTTTTAATCACTTCAAAGAAATCACCTGTTGGAAGCAGTACCTTTACCAGTAACTTCCCATTTTCTGCTACATTGTTCCTTAAGGGACATTGGACTCAACTTGAGGACACAAATGTGTCTTTGATATTCAGCCAGAGCACCCCTTTTGGGAAATCTTTTCAAACCTAGTGGTTGTACTGGATCCCTCAACTCCCATTTATGAACCACTGCCAAGCAATGCTCCGTTCTTTTTAAACGAAGATATATATATATATATATATATATATATATATATATATATATATAAATTGTACAAAGTAATAGGTTTATTGTGGCATTTCATATATACATGAAAGAAACCCTCATTTTTTTGTCTTTGGCTTTGAGGCACAGTCTCATCTTGTTGCCCAGGCTAGCATCAAACTTAGATCTTAATGCCTCTGCCTCCCAAATCCTGGGATTACAGGTGTGAACCGCCTTGCTCACTTCCGCAATTCTTATTCTAGTAATGACAATTACCTGGTTTAACACCTCTACTGAGATCAGAAACTATATTTTTTCCAACTGAAATGACTAAAAAACTCCAAACAAACCAACTCAACCAAGATATATAGTCAATGCTTAACAAATGGTTATTGGGGAAAATGTAACTCCATTGCTTTTCCCCTGATGCATACAAAGTTGTTTTCTTTCATATCTGGACTTACCTTTGACTTACACTATCATTGAATTTACTGGTTTAAAAAATACATTAAAGTGCAGTGTTTGATACTAAATTTGTACTATAGAATTGTAACATTTCTTGTCAATATTCATTATCAAAGCAATAAATTGGGGGCTGGGAAGGTGGCTCAGTGGTAGAGTGCTTACCTTGCATGCATGAGGCCCTGGGTTTGATTCCTCAGCACCACATAAGCAAAAAGAAGAAAGCCAGAAGTGGCGCTGTGGCTCAAGTGGTAGAGTGCTAGCATTCAGCTGAAGAGCTGAGGGACAGCACCCAGGCCCAGAGTTCAGGCCCCACGACCCGACCCCCCCCCCCCCCAAAAGCAATAAATTGGCTTTTCTTCCTTACCATAGCTATGGTATAAATGAGTAGTTAAATCATCATTTTGCTTCCTTGAGAGAGGCTGCCACCAAGAGCACAAAATAATAGATTAACTTTGCAATACTGAGTTCAGATAAATAGTTCCATTGTAGTTGTCCCCTCCATCAATACAATGCATTATGGTACTCAGCAATTAAATGCTTTCAATGAATTTTTCGTGGGCTTGCTGTTTTACTCTTACAAGAGTGATTGAAGGAATTCCCTGGAAGACTCCAGTGAAATTATTGCAAGAATGTACTGATTAAGATATTCCCTTCTTATTAGAGGATGTACAGGCTTAACTCCAATCTTATGCCAGGTTCATGTTTATGTCACTATCTCAGAGAATTATCAGAATCTTAGCTATATTGTGAGGCTGAATTTTGAAAGAAGTAGGGTGACTCAGGACTAGTCTCAAAGGATCACTTAGGATGTAATGATAATATATCAACTTCCTTTAAATCCTGTTGATTTTAGCTCACAGGTACCAAAGGCTTCACTCTGATTTTAAACTCAGTCCTGCACTATTCCACAATAAAACCATTTTTCCTGACTAGTCAGTGTCAATTTTTGGTGAAACAATTGACTCAAATGTGAATAACATATCTTATTTAATTGTCAAATATGTCACATTCACCATAGCATGTAAGGATCTCTAAGAAGATGACCACTGATGGTCCTGTTATATTTGAAAGTGTAGCACATGGCACTACTCATGTCAATAAATTATCTTACATTTTGATGGCCTCTCTAACTAGTTGCCATGAATGACAGCAACATATCTACTGTTGATGCTCTTCTACCTTTAACATTGGTTACAACTTCTGTTCACTATACAACTGTAAAAATTGATAATGACAAGTAACTAAAAATGAAGTTGCAGTTGAGATCTCTATGTGAATATGTGGTAATTTTTACTAAGCATGCTCATTGGAGTCTTTGCAAGTTCATTTTTTAAATTAGCAATATTGTCCCAAGTGACATATATACACACACATATATGTATATTTACACACGTATATATATATATATATATACAATATATATATATATACTATATATATATATATATAGTGCTAAGTGACTCACTATATATCTAGGACAATACTTTCTTCATTACCATCCAATATCTCCTCATTACTGGAATGAAAAACTTTTCAAAGTAAGTAATGTTAAAAACAATAGGGAAATCTAGTGTTTGAAATTCTCTGAGATATGAGAGGTTATTATGCTACCAATATAACATTTATAACCCATAAGTTAAAGATGTGGTAGCCTTTCTTAATACAGGTTTTAATGTTAGTAATGGATTTTCTGTATGTTGAAATTTTTGTTTACTTAGGATGCTGAGGATTGAACTGAGGACCTTGTGCATGCTAGACACATGTAATATCACTGCCCTACATCTTTAACTTGTGTGTTGAATTTTTCTTGAGCCTAATAATCATCAGTTGTGATAATGTCTTCAGAGGAGGAGTAAGCATCAGTATTGTATGTCACAGGCTTCCAGAGCAGAATTTTAAAGTGCCAGTCTATTTTTGCTTTTATTCATTGTAAGGTACTTGTAAAATACAAGGCCTGCTATTTTTGATATCTGTTTTTAATCATATGAATAACGTATAACGTTTAAAAAATCAGTCTGTTTTCTTTTCTTTCTTTTCTTTTTTTTTGGGTCCGGTTGTGGGGCCTGAACTCTGGGCCTGGGCGCTGTCCCTCAGCTCTTCAGCTCAAGGCTAGCGCTGTACCACTTGAGCCACAGTGCCACTTCCGGCTTTTTTCTTTTTGCTTATGTGGTGCTGAGGAATCGAACCCAGGGCTTCAAGCATGCAAGGCAAGCACTCTACCACTGAGCCACCTTCCCAGCCCTAAAAAATCAGTCTGATATGCAAAAATGTAAAATGGCATAAAAGAGCTAACTTGCAACATTACTTTATATTGTCTTCTGAAAATATCATTAGCTGTATTATAGCACCAACATGTAAACCTTAAACATAGAACTTGTGCAACTGAATACGTAACTTGTCATATACCAAATACTTTAAAACACCTAGTGAATTTACTTGTAAAATTGACTTGATCCATTGTCAGCTTAGTCATAATATCTATCTGGATTTTTCTCCCAGTCTTAGGCAGATTTCATCTTCTCAGTGTTGCTATTTATTCTTTCTTAACTATTCTTTAAGTGACAAATTAATGTTTTCAAAGACTCTGTTCTGAGTTTATGCCAATAGCTCCTACATATGTATATGTATACACACACACACACACACACACACACACACAAATATATCAGTAGTAATTAGTGTGTTGCTTTAAGATCTCATGTATTTTTTTTATAGTAATCACCATGTCTATAACTTTTACCAGTGAATGGAAGGAATATTCCCTGGAGGCCCCAGTTAGAGAGTAACTTGAACAGCTTTGTTTGTTTCTTTAAAATCTTTCCTTTCCTTAGTATGAGGTGCATAGGGTCAACTAGCAGATATTTGTATGTCAAGGAAAAACCCTGAAGGTACCATCTTCATCCTAGAAGGAAGGCATTTCCTGAGCTTTC